TTTTTTTTTTTTTGCCATATGTGGCCAGCAATAAGCACAGAAAAGGATGGTATAATGTTTTCAGTTCTTTTTTATCGCTCTTGGAGACGTTATTGGCAGTCAATTATTCAACTTCTCGCTATAACTGTAAAATTTTTCACGATAAGCATTCGTTGTTGTGCTGTATTCAGACAACAAAAGTAAACTGCTTTTGCTGACGGCCACAGTATATCGATTATTACCACTCTAATGTTATGATGACGAGGATGGTAGCAAAGCTTCATTGGCCACAGTAGCGATGAATTCACAGAACACCATTGAAAAAAACATATTTTTATACAATTACTGCACAGCAGGAATTTTTTTAATCAATATTTAAAAAACAAAAAGAAGGAAAAAAGGGTAGACAAAGTTGGTGGGTTTCTACACATAAGTCGAATTGTGCGGACAATAATGGTTTACTGCTTTAGTGTCTATATTTGTAACTTATGAGATCAATTTCTTCAACTCATCATTTATAACGTTTTTTTAAAATCACAGATAATTAGAAAGCATTATAATATTATTCCAATATTAGTATTCTAGAATTCAAATATTAATTTTTCACACCAATTTTATTCGTTTAATGCTGTTCTTAAGCAAACCTAGTTCTTAAACAATTAGTGTTGGTCTTCGCCATGAGGAAGTTGATCAATTAACATCACTATTGTCTACAGTCGTGTAGCCGAAGGTATCTTTTATCGTTATTAATTGCTTCTTCCAAGTTTATGTATCAAATCGTGCCAAACTGCTATTAAACGGATAAAAAGTTACAAGAGGCGTAGGAAGTGGAGAAGAAGTTGGGAGATAGGTGCTAATGTTTTTTGAATCTATGAAAAAAACCGACTTCTTTGGAAGTAGCAAAAGATAAGATGGTACAGTTATTGTTCAAACTGTAAGCAAAAACATTTTTCTCCCAGAAAACTAATTTTTTTTCCGAGTTGTATAATCTTTTTGCTCTACCAGTTTTTGCAGTTGGTAACAGCAGTTTTTGAACGAACGTTTCCAGTCAGCGATCTGTGATCGTCGCTAACAGAGAAGAAAAAGACGCCCAACAATAATTCTGTATAGGCAACGACGACAGACTTCAATATTAATTTTAGTTGTTCTTACAGATATCTATTGCATAAAATAAAAAACAGCAAAATGGAAGTAGCATTAAATAGATTAGCTATAACAGACAAAACCAGGAAACAAACGAAAAAAAAGCAATAAGGCAATGAATTTGAAGTAATAAACTAAAAAGCATACCTGAGTATGTCAGTGTCAATGCAGAGGATATGAAACTGTTAACTGTTTTTGTTGTTTAAACGGTTAGTAAGTGGCAAAAACACAAATGATTCTTCTCCAATATAGACGATTTCTATCACACCACATTGTTTTTTTGTCTGTTTGTTTGTGTGTATGTGTCTGAGTGTTTGTCTATGTGTATTTGATTTA